TAAAAAGAAACTCTCAAACTTTCACAGAAAAAACCAAATCAGTCAAATAATGGCCATGACTCATCCAGATGGCTGATACTAACAAAAGATCTAAGAGGTACTATATATGATTCCAAGGTATATCCTAGCGAGATTTAACTGACCTGTGAGATAATAAAAGTTAAATTTATATTTTTTACAGGTCTTTCTTTAACTTGATCTTAACTATCCAACAAAAATATATAATCACAAAATAAAAAAATAATATACTAGCTATAAAAGGCTTAAATCACTAACAACTTCTCACAGTTGCTAGCTGTACTGATAACTCACTACCATTATACGCAGACTATCTAGGGTCAAACTGCTAAATACAAACACAAAAATCTTTAGACTAGTATCAAAAATAAAAAAGTTTAAGAGTTCTCCAAAAGCAACTTCTACAACTACAATAGAGCACCCATCATTCACAAAACAAAACAAAAAAGGGAGATATGTTGGGAGCCACTGAAGCTAAAATTGATCATATGTGGGAGGGCAGGATGAGGCCTCATTGCCTAAAGCTGTCAAACTACCTCAGTCTTAAAAAAAAAATCCACCTAGTCATTGTGAGCTATTAGTCACTAGACAACTTTGTGTCTTACAACTTTATAAAGATATAAATAAAGGCCCTTACTGTTGTTCTGGGGGTCATCTCACCAACCAGGCTGATGTGCCACCACTTGACCCAGTTCTTGTCTTCTTATTTAACTTTTCCTCATTCCTACTACCGTTTCTCCCAGAGTACAACAGACCACATTGAGACCAACAGACTACAACAACAAAGCTTTTGTAAATAAGGGAAAGAGAGACTGAAGGGAGTATAGAGAAATGGGCAAAAAAAGGATCAAGTTATATCATGTAGAGGTACAAATTTCCTATAATGAATGTGATCATTATGTGTACTTAAAATGTACCAATAAACTAATTTAAAAAAAAAAAATGGTGGAGGGCTGGTCAAATAACTCAGCAGATTAAAGCATCTGCAAGCAGGCACAGGGGCTAGGGTTTTGATCCCTAGGCCTGCCATGCTGGCCCTGCCCCTGAGTCATGCTGAGACAGCAATTGAGACACAGTGTGGTGGTGCAGGCCTGTAACCCCAGCTCTTGGGAGGCTGTAAACAGGCGGATCACTATGAGTCTGGTCCACTAGTGAGACCTTTAACATCCTGTAGACCCTTCCCTTAAATAAATAAATAAATAAATAAACAGATGGAATGAGTCAGCAAAGATTTACAGATGAAAAATAAATGTGTGAAAAGGTATTCAACACCTTTTCCATTAGAGAAATGCAATCAAAACTGTTGCTGGGTATGGTGGCCCATGCCTGTAATCCCAGCAGGCTGAGGCAGGAGCATCAATGTGAGTTCAAGACCAGCCTTAGCTACAAAGTGAGTTGAAGACCAGCTTAACCTGCATAATGAGACGCTGTTTCAAAAAAACAAAATAAAAGACTGGTGAGATAGCTCAGCAGTCTACAGCACCTGCTTAGGCAAGTTAGGCAGGCGCAGGGGACAATGGTTTGATCCCCAGCACCACATGCTGCACCAGCCCCTTCCTCAGGGTGGGCTGATCCAGTCCCCCCCCCCCAAAAAAAAACAGACAAAAAAAAAATCCATTCCACACCCATTTGGATAGTTAAAATTGAAAGACTAACCATTGCAAGTGTTGGTAAGGCTAAGGGGGACCTGGAAGGCTCATGTACCTCTGATGGGAATGGTACAGCCTGCCTCTTCCCTTGTACAGCCCCCTCTGGAAAATGACTTGCCAGTTTCTTCAAAAGCTGAACATATACCTACTATATGGCACAGTCATTTCCCTCTTAGGTATTTAGCCAAAAGAAATGAGAGCATGTGTCCATGCAAAACTTTGTACACAGACGTTCCTAGCAGTAGCCATTCATAGTAGCCAAGAACTGGAAAGAACCCAAACAGCCATCAACAGATGAATGGATAAACAAATAGTACTATGCCCATACAATAGAATACATACTACTCCGCAATGCGAAGAAATAAACTACTGAAAATTATAACAATGTGGGTGAAGCCAAAGAAAAAAAGAGCTACAGGACTCCATTTATATAAAATACTAGGCCAGGCATGGTGGCATGCACCTGTAATCCCAACACTTGGGAGGCTGAGGCAGGAGAATCTCCATGAGTTTGAGGCTAGCCTGGGTTATACAAGTGAGTTCAAGACCACCTCGTACTACATAATGAGACCCTGTCTCAAAAAGAAACAAAACAAAACAAAACTAAGAAGTTCATTCTAATCTACAGTTGCAGAGAGCAGTGGTTGCATGAGGAAGGAGGCAGGATGTGAAAAAGAAGGATGGCTGTGGTCATTAGTGGTGACAACTTCACTCTTGAATACCTAAAAGTCAATTATTGCCAATAAAATTATTATTTAAAAACGAATAAGACACTAGGAAGAATGTGTGCAATGTGTTAATTATTGAAACTGTCCTACCAATTTGGTTTGAAACTGTCTCATTGCTATTTGTTTATCAATAAAATTATGGGGGAAAAAACCGAATAAGAAAGATATTGATCAATTTGAATGCACAGGAAAAGTCAGATCAGCGGGGACTGAGGCCATTAAACATTCATGATAGGTCACTGCTGACTCTGAGGATGGTTCCACGGCCTGGGTCAGGGAGGAAGCTAGCGTGCTAGTCTTAAGAAGCCAGATGCTGACGCAAGTATAGAGTGTGCGTTTATTGTTCTTGCATTCATCTTAGAGGGCTGCGGCTCTTAGGAGGCTCAGGTTCCAGGAATTTATCTTCTCGCGGTTCTGGAGGCCTGAAGTCTGAGATCAAAATGCCACCGTTTCTGCTTTTTGGTGAGGGCTCGCTTCCTGGCGTGAAGTGGGTGGTCTTCTGCTGCGTCCTCAGGTAAAGGAGCGAAGTGGGTGGGGAGACACAAGCAAGGGGGCGCTCTGATGCCTCCGCGTTCTTACGTGGGCACCAGCTTTGTCAAGATAGGGCCTGCTCCTAGGACCTCGTTTAGTATTTCTTTCCTCTCCAAGGCCTGATCTGCAAACACCACGGTCATACTCACTGAGTGTTCGAACTTCAGCCTATGACCATCATTCAGTCAGACGAAGTTTGATCAGAACTGAGGAGAAAACTTGAGAGAGTAAGATGATTAAGGAATAAGAAGAGATACACATTTGCATGAAGGCACGGTGGGGGTGGGGGTGGGGCGGGAGCAACGAAGGCTAGAAATGCAAGCTGAGCTCAGGCTGAGCTTGGCCTGAAAAGAGAGAGAGGGTAGTTGAGGAAGTTGCCTAGTCAGTGTTTGACTCAGCAGCCTTGACGTTCGGGCCTGCAGCACGCTGCGTGGCAGGAATGCATTGGGCTCCTCTCGTGCCCCCAGGAGGACCAGCGGAGGACCGGTTCTGAAGCACAATAGAGAGAGGAAAGCGCCAGCGGAGCGCCACCCTCAGGCCTGGGCAAAGCGTGTGTTCTTCCCCGCCCCGCTCAGCCTAGAGCCTCGAAGGCCTCCCCTGTGTCCTGAACTAGTGTTTACTCCTGTTTCCAGCAGACTGCGGTAACCCAAGGGGGCCTCAGAAAAAATAGATTTGGGAGCTTTAGATGATTTTACTATGACTTTTCCCCTTATTCTCCTTATGTCTTCTTTTGTAATTCTGAGATGGATAACTCCTTGCTCCTCTCATTGAAAAGGAATGGACCTTGGTTAGGATAGATATATAGTTACATTCTCTTAATGAATAGAAGGATTTCTTCTAATGGTGTTTGTAAATAGGATATTAAGTCCACATCTTGTACAGCACTTAAGCACTAGGAAGAATGCATGCAATGTGTTAATTATTGAAACTGTCCTACCAATTGGATTTGAAACTGTCTCATTGCTATTTGTTTCTCAATAAAATTATGGGGGGAAAAAAAGAGGGGCCGAGGAGATGGCTCAGTGGAGTAAGCACTTTCCTGGCAAGTGCAAAGGCCTGAGTTCAATCCCCGGTTCTGAAAACAAAACAAAACAAAACAAAAAAAACAAAAAATCTGTTAAAAAAAAAAAAAGAAAGAAGAAAAAGAAAAGGAATGGCCTTGCCTCTGAATGGTCTTGTTTTTTCCTTGTAGTTAGTAGTTTAGAAAAATTTACATGTTCTGTGTTTTTGTATATTCTAGACTTCCAGCCATTATGCCTGACAGAAATGGAGTTGGAATATAGAAGAACACTGATTTTTCTTTTTCCTTCCCTGTCCTCTTCCCTCTCCCTCACCTCTCCCTCCTTGTTTCCTCCCCATTCCCTCTTCATCAGTATAATGGGTGTGGCAGCATATAGCCCCTCCTCCTGTGTAGGTGGTACAGCTATGAAATCCATCAGTGTATTTCTTAAGAGGCCGCTCCATACAGAGCAGTCCAAGGAACCCCTTTGTACAGAGAAGAATTTTCTTCAGCGCATTTAAACACCACGTTGTGTTCACACTTAGTCACACTTAGCGCCTTCTTTGTTGTGCCAAGTGGTGGCTGTCTGCCTTCCCTCCCTCCAGCCCTCCCCTTCCACTTACTTGCTTTCTGTGGTCATGAGATTTTACAGCCAGTGCTACAGAATTTATACAGCAGCCAACAACTTTAATTCACTTTAGTTTAAAATGTTTTAGGAAACAAGTTCAAATCTGAGAAATCAAGGTGGAATGAGCCCAGCCAAAAGAAGTTCCAGAATTGTGAATGGCTTAGGAGTCCCAGATCTCCTTACTCAGTCTTCTGAAAGATTTCACTCTACCAAAAGGTACTGTGCGCAGGAGGAGGATTGTTTAGAAACACATGCTCCTCTCTTTAGTCAATAATAGAGTGCTATGGAACTGAAGGGTCCTAGCTCTGGTTACTAGCGCTATTTTTTTTCAGACCACACGAGAAGACTTTGTTTGAATACTGGGAAGGCTCAGCATCTTCCTGTACACTGTACTCCAGTCTGTGAAGGAGAAATTTTTCTTCATTTCAGCCTCTTCTCTCTTTTTTTCTCTTCACTTTCCTGCATATTTTCCAAATGGTTCAAGTTGTTCTTTATAAGCTAGAAGAGTTATGGACCACTCCAGATTTTCCATATCTGTGCTAAATGGAGAAACGCAGAACTGGCCCTACTCTAAGGAAGATTTTGCCAATGTTTAGAATAATAGGATGGTGCATTAGAAGAGAAGCATGATCTCCATAGAGACACATCTGTATATCTCTACACATCAGGAATGTTCTGTTACACCTTGATCATCTTTCACCATGACAAAGTTATTTATTCTGTAATAATTATATTCCTTTCAGTATTTTATTTGGGGTATACTAAGAATAATTTAATGCTGGCAAGTTCTGGCAAAATGAGAAATAATAATGAAGTAAGTCTGCTATTCAGGATGCCATTAATCTGACACATGGCCAGAGTCCAAGGGCCTTGAGGCCACATTGCCAGTAGCAGGGTTTAGGGTCAGTGTACCTCGGTGATAAGTTACATCTTCTCATGGTCCTGGAAGCTGGAAGTCTGAGATCAAGGTGCCAATGTTTCTGGGAGGCCACTTCGGTACATAGACCCCTATGATCACATTCAGGAGGGCACAAAGGACCAGGCTGGGCTATGACATGTCTTAGGGACAGTAGGGTCACTAGGGGGCATGGTGGCACCTCAGCGTCCTTGCTGAATAACCAGAAGCATTTGTGCACATTCACTCCCCCACATACACACACTGGGCTCAGTGTCTCTCTTCACCTGGCAGGGCTCCAGAGGCTTTTGTGTCTATTCAGCTGGAAAAGGTGAGACTGAGAGACACGATGCTGAACACCTTCCTCCTCCGGAAACAGACCATGGGTGATGGAGCAAAGAGCCCTGTGAGTGTATAGGGAGAAGAGCTCCCTGAAGCTCTGCTCTTATTTTGTGTTTATACAGATAAAAATCTTGGACTTGGAATCTGTTGCTTTCAACCTTTTTGGGTAAAGCTATTGAAAGTAAGTGGTGAAGAACTCAAAAGGGAAGCACAACAAGTTAGAGTATTAATCTGAGAAGGTTACAGCCAAGATTTTTAAAATGCATGTGATTTTGCAAGGCTGTAGTTGGTTTTCGTATCTTCTCACGGGATGAGTTTTGGCCTCTGTACTGGAATATCTCTGCACTCCTGAGCAGCCCACTGGAGGGCTCTGGCCATCTGCTTACCTATTATCTTGATTTTCAGACACCACTGACACTGAAAATACTATCAAATGCAAGACTTTAAACAGTTAAACTCATTGCTGAATTGTGCAGATATCATTTCATTATTCATCAGTTTTTTGATGAGGAAATTATTATGCTGATGCACAGCTATTTTGGAGAAAATGCTAATAGCTATAAACTCTAGACTCTATCCATACATGTGACTGAAAAGGAAGGACTTTGCCTCATTCAGTTCTGGAAATGGATGTGATGGAGACTAGACCTCCAATTACTGATGAGCAATGTTGGAGGTAAAGGGCACCTTCCAATAAACAATTCTGAAGTAAAAATTCATGAAGTGGGAAATACAGCATTTCATTAGCTATCCTTCAGAATAATCCTGCACCTTTTTGATCAGAAAGAGTTTGGGCAATTTGATGATCATTAATAAATTAACCTGTTACTGTTCTATGGCTGCTGGAAGAAGACCCAAAACTCCTAAGTCAAAAACAAAAAGATTTATTATAGCAGATAAGGCAACATGAGCTTCAAGTTTGTGTCCCTTCCCTCTGCCTATGCCTTACAGGGACAACATGAAGGATCTTACATGCAGCCAGTGGATGTGTGGAAAAACACTGAGCAGTGGGAAACCCACCTCTTGATAGCAAACCTGCCTTGTTCCCTAATGGAAGATATCCCCTAGCACCCCAGGATTGCTCCCTGGAAACACAGTCCTGGGAAAGAGTCCAAGTAAAGATTGGTCAAGCCCTTGCATTCTTCACATGCTCAACAGGATAAGTAGAAACAAGAGTGTCCCCTAGAAGATTCCCAACAAGTTTACCTCCAGAAAGAATGTCTCAACCACACAGCCCTTTCTTGCTTGAAGTTCACTAAATGTTCATAGATTAGGATGGGTGGTCCTCTCATTTAAGTGTCTAACAGAAGAAACCATCATTCTCTTTCTTCACAGGACACAACTGAAAAGATCAAGAGGGATGTTATAATTGAATACTGTCAAAAGTAAGTATCATATATTTGGATAACACAAACCAATTTCTCTATCCAGCAATATTATATAGAAATTCAGACAATGAGCCAGGTGGTTTGTGTTTTAATAAACCACGGACATGTTGGGTAGTACTGAGCTACAGGGTCAATCTGCTGCCTTCACCGGAGAAGAGCCTTAGAAGTGACGGAGAGGGAGAAGAGAAGTTCATGTTCTGCTCTTAGCCAGT